AACCTTTTTTTTTAAAGCATACTTTAGTTCTGTGAAGGGATATACGGGATATACGCACTGTACTTCACTTGAATTAATAATGTATGCTGAAAAGCGTATATATTACAGCACGATTTTTTGTTGAATAGATTTGAAGTGGTTCAACATTTTGGGTCGCGATTTATTGACAAAGGAAAAAGTGGGTCCCGAGGCCTGACCAGTTAAGAACCACTGCTATAGTGTATTCAGTGTATTCAATATTTTCTTTATATTGTGTATTATTTAGATACTACATATCAATCAATCAATCAATCAATCAATGTTTATTTATATAGCCCAATATCACAAATGTTACATTTGTCTCAGTGGACTTCACAGTTTGTACAGAATATCAGTATGACAATACGACAACCTCTGTCCTTAGACCCTCACATCGTACAAGGAAAAACTTCCAGAGAAAACCCACAGTTTAAAGGGAAAAATGGGAGAAACCTCAGGGAGAGCAACAGAGGAGGGATCCCTCTCCCAGGACGGACAGACGTGCAATAGATGCCGTGTGTAAATTGAAAAGATAATACATTTGCAACATAGGTAGTCCAAATGTTTGGAAATGCATGTGTGTATAATAGGAAGATGAATCCACGAGGATATCCATCCAGGACTTATGATCCAGGACCACAGCCACGGCTCAAGATCCATACTGAATTTGTATACACTTGCTGCTATTGTAATGTTTATTTGTCATTATATTTGTATCTTATTGTATCTTTTAAATATGTTTAACAACATTTCTGCTGTGACAAAATGATTTCCCAATTTTGGGATAAATATAGTCCAGTACAGCGCTGGAGTCAGGGCATGGTTAGCCTAGCTTAGCATAACAGTCTAAACAGCTGCATGGCTCTGCAAAAACTTAAAATTCTAAAAAAATGTTCACCTTATTTCTTAATCTTGATGCTCTATGATATAAACTACTTATGATACCTTGCTGTTGTTTTTTAGTTTTTTTTTAAATCAGGCTATGTAACTTTTTAAGAGAAAATTCAAGCACTTAAACATATTTTTATGAGTACCGTATATTCAAATGCAAGTATATTCCTAATCTTGAAAACATAACAGTTTAAATGTAGCATTTTCCAAACTTAAGCCCTGAAAATGTGTATTGTGATAGCACGTTGAATATGATTCTGTTTACTTAAAGGCAAATAGAAACATGGGAGAAGTGGTGGTAGTGATGGGTGTCAATCAGGGCCCTCATCTAATTTCACCCAATGGGCCCCATACTGATTAAAGCCAGCAATGTGTCCAGCTGCAGCACCCGGAGCATCTTTGAGTGCTCTGCTGAATAGAAGGGACATTTCTGAAGTTCACCAAAGAAAATAGGAGTGTGTTACTTACGCCTGAGCATCAGGACTGATGCCGAGCAGTTTGCTGAGGGCCACACACAGGCGCTCGTGGAGGTCATGGCTGATCCGGCCCCCAGCTCTGACCCTCTCTGCGTTTCGCTCCAAAAGGTCCAACACCAGGGGCCTCAGATGTCGAGCAATCAGTAAAGTATAGTCCTTCTCCAGCAGCAGCTGAGACACACAGTCCAGAATACACTGCCTGTCCTGTTGGCTCCATATCTGAGGAGAGATCACAGAGGAAAGGTCCACATTGACACATATTGATTGGTTGAAATAAACACATACATCAATATGTCTACTAAGCATTATAATAATGGGTATTATTATGGCAGCAGAATGCTTTCAATGACACAACACACTAATATGAAGCACAGTGAGTGACCACTGACATGTGAAGGGAAGGTAACTGCACGCACGCACGTTTTGAGTCAAATTAAAACACTCTGACACACAGTTTTGTTTAATACACACTAGAAATAAACACATCTTACCTGTTTTGATAGATATTGGGACAGTTCGTTGTGACTTTTGTCAACATGTCTGGATATGGTACCCAGTGATGGCAGGCTCAGTTCTAAATTCTCCATCGTATCATTTGTCGCCTCGTGAGGTTCGCTCTGCTACGGAAACAAGCTCACGCGGTCTACGATTATATGTATATTGATTTACTCTTATTAAAACAAACTGTGTGATAATTACGCGCTTGTCTGTCTCGGGCTGTTTCACAACACATGCACGTTCCGTCCCTGGTGTTAAATCCTGTCCACATGTGAGTGAATTGCAATTCCTTCCGGGTCACGTCCATCGTCTAGAGTTAACCACGCCCACTTCCGCATCAACGTAGCTATGCGCTACTGCGTCATGGATGTATAAAGAGAATTTGCCGTCCCCATAGCAACACATCCGGGTATTTCATCATGTAAACAGAAATGTATTTACTTTTGAACCCTCCGGTATCATTCGATTGGACAACGCAAATTAGTCATTCGAGACAAAAATGTCCACTGCAAAATACTTTGATAAAAACATTATATTAAAAGGTTTTTTTCACAACTTTTTGGGTTCAATCTTTAAACCAACTTCCGCCCTAATAGAAAATACCAAAAATGTAATCATTTTCAGGATTTTAACCCTTTAAATGCCATTTTGAATACATGAAACCGCTGTTTTTTTTCATGATGAAAACAGAGAAAATTAGTTATTTTCCAAAAAATGCATATCTGGTGACTGGCTCTTTTTTTTTTATATAACAGTCTTGGATATGTCCAAGATTAGCAGCAAAATTGATTTTTTTGCATTATTAGTTTTTTCACAAAATCAGATTGAACAAAAAAGTCACATATTAGTCATTCGGGACAAAAATGTCCACTTCCAAAGACTGCTCTGAAATGACAACAGATTAATATTTTTTAGGGCCGGGACTTTAACGCGTTAATTAAGATTAATTAATTACACAAAAATTAACGCG